GAGAAATAGACACATCTATAGTTATAGTTAGAGGCTTCAATACCCTTCTCTCAACAATTGATAGAACAACTAGACAGAAAATAATCAAAGATATAGAAGAACTCAACAACACACCATCAAACAATAGTACATAACCAAGATTTATAGAATATTACATTCCAAAGAATGAACATACATATTCTTTTCAATCACCTATGAAACATTTACCAAGATAGATTATATCCTGGGTCATAAAACAAACTTCAACAAATTTAAAAGAATTAAACTCATACAGAGTGTGTTTTCTGACTATAATAGAATTAAACTAGAAGTTAATAACAGAAAGATAACAGAAAATCTTCTAACACTTGAGACTAAACAACATACTCCTATATGATCCATGGGTCAAAGGAGAAGTAGCAAAAAAAAAATTAAAAACACATTGAACTAAATGAATATGAAAATACAACATGTCAAAATGTATGGGGTATAGCTAACTGAATGCCAAGAGGGAAATTTATAGCACTAAATGTTTACATTTTGCAAGAGGAAAAGTCTAAAATCAATAAGCCCTACCTCAAGAACTTAGAAAAAGAAAAGCAAAATAAATCCAAAGCAAGCAAAAGGAAAGAAATAATAAAGATAGGAACAGAAGTCAATGAAACTGAAAATAGAAAAACAGAAAGAGAAAAATGAGTGAAACAAAAGCTGACTCTTTGAAAAGATCAATAAAGATCAGTAAGATGGACAAACCTCATTCTTGCCAATGGAATGTAAGGGAAGTAATATGTACTACATCCATAATACTATTTCCTTCCTTCCTTCCTTCCTTCCTTCCTTCCTTCCTTCCTTCCTTCCTTCCTTCCTTCCTTCCTTCCTTCTTTCTTTCTTTCTTTCTTTCTTTCTTTCTTTCTTTCTTTCTTTCTTTCTTTCTTTCTCATTGGGGGCGCACTCTGCCACGCAGGCTGGAATGCATTGGCACGATCATGGCTTACTGCAGCCTTAACTTCCTAGTCCCAGGCAATCTTTCCTCCTCAGCCTCCCAAGTAGCTGAGACTACAGGTACTCACCGCCATGCTCAGCTTACTTTTTGATTTTTTGTAGAGGTGAGGTCTTGCTATGTTGCCCAGGATGGTCTTGAATTCCTAGGCTCAAGTAATCCTCTTTCTTCAGCCTCCCAAAGTGCTGAGCTGCTGTGCCTGGCCATAATAGTTTCTTTGAAAGAAATCACTAGTCCTCCAGTTCTTCCTTCCCACCTTTCCATGGGCTGCATATAGTGAAGTTGATGAGCCAGTTTTGACCATGCAGATAAGGGTAACATCTTAGGGTGTGGGGGAGCAGTGAGCCGGGAGGAGTGGGTATCCTTGGTTGACCTTGTAAAACAGAGATTCCCATCTACTTGTTTCAGTCACTGTATTTTTTTTATTTATTTTTTTTTTAGATTGGAAAATATAGTTTATTTAGAAAGTAGATGAGAGAGAGAGAGAGAGAGAGAGAGATTCATCTCCCCAAGGTAGGGAAGGGGGGCCAAAGCTTAGGGAAAAGCATGGTGGTCATAGCTCAATGAACACATAGCCTGGTCAGAGCTTAATAAAAGCAATGGCCTATAGTAATTCTTTTTGTTTCAGCTGAGCAGTCTTTACTCAACTTAATATACCTAGGGTTAGGCTTATGTTTTAGGGACTTACATATAACCAAGATATTATGGGACCACTCCAGTTTTCTGACCATGAAATGTGTTTTCTGAGGCCTCAATCAATCCTACAATCCTTCATCATCTGTCTGTGGATGAAAGCCACCACCGGATCAGCCTTCACGCCTATCTACCTGAGCCTTTCACATCCAACAACTTCCTTGTCATTCCTTTCCCACTACTTTCTTGTTATTCCTGGAGTACAGGCATCTTTTTGGCACAGCTGAGCCACAAGGGACCCAGGGATCTCTACAAGGCCATATAAGTCAACACCTGTCAACACTCACTGTGTTCCTTCCCTCTCCTGGGTCTTGTGCCCACCTTGGAGATGCAGCACACAGCACCTATGCTCCCATCACTTCCTCCTCTCCCAACTTTTTCTCTGATGAGGCACCTGACATACTCTTCTCCATAGGCACAGGCCTACGGAGGTACCAAAGGTGGGCACTGGCTGGCTGTCTCTGCCCTTCTCCCATACTATTCTCTGAGTAATGATCATGGGCAGATTATCAGCCAGAGTAGGGGAAAGAGACAGGGGAAATACCAGGAGAGGAAGATAGATATATTGGTATCACCATGATTATTGTCATCATGCCATTCTCTTTTCAAGGCATTCTCTTTTCACCTGCAAAGGTGGAGCAAGGGCCAGGGCACCTGCGTTCAGTGGATTAATGAGTAGAAACTCTGCAATGAACAGAAATCCAAAAGCACACTTATACTGAGTTGGAGTTAAGGCACAACACGGAACCCAGTCTTGTGCTGATGGCACTGGGGAAGAGGGGCATACAGCAAAGAGGCTATAGAGCTGAGGGAAATTCAGGGGAATCCTTTTGGTGGGCTCACAGAGCCTGGCATGCAGAGCCGGGGATCTGCCTTCATTTGACTCCTGGCTCTGTTGCTGATTGGGTTGGTCATCTGCCATCTCTCTGAGCCTCAGTTTTGCATCAGGCAAAGAGGAACAATTAACACTCACTCCATAATTTCATAATCCAAGAAAGAATGAAGTGGTCTCTGGGAAAGCACTTTGGAGGTGATAAGGACTCTGCACACACAGTGCTTATTATTATTACATGGGATGATCAAGTTTGGGGATGGGGGGATTAGGTTGTGTGGGCAGGACCTTTCAGCAGATGGACAGCCCCAAACAAAGCAGGCTTTGGGTGGTGTATTTTAGTGAGGACAAAGAACTCAGGTGGGTGGAGCTAGGTAGAGAGTTGCTGAGAGAGACAGAGTGTGTGGGTGGTGGGGGGAGGGGTAGGAATGTTGGCAGCTAGATTTGGAGGATTGTCAATCCCTACCGAGTTCTGTCTTGTTGGAGCAAACAATAGGGAACTATTGCAGGTTCTTGAGTAGGGGAGACACCTAAAAGCGAAAGCGATTCACAACCTCTTAAGGCTATTATTGTAATTGGCAACAATTGTCTGTTTCTAAATCCTCCTCCCCATCCCCCGAAGCTGTTCTTGACTTCTCTGGAGGGACTGGTCTCATCCTCTGGACTCTCTAGGGTTACCTCCGGCTGGACTAAATCTCCTTGGCAGCAGTTGTAGCAGCTCAATTGTTCCTGGAAACATTGAGGATTTTCTGCCTTTGCCCTCTGGCTCCCCCAGCCCACAGAGGTCTCTTCCTTCTTGGGGCTCCTGAGTTGTGTGCTCCCCTTATGGGCAGTGGAAGGTTCATGGAAGGCAGTGGTTCTTGACTCTGGCTGCTCATTAGAAGACTGGTTTTTAAAAGTCTCCATGGCCAGGTATATCCCAGATCAACAACACTGTTATCTCTGGGGTAGGACTTAGTTTTTGGATGGTTTATAAATGTCCCAGGTAATTACAGTGGGCACATTGAGTTCTGTGATACACAGACCACCTCTGACAATCTGGCATCCCACCTTGTGGTTATCCCTTTCTTGTATGTACTGTTCACACCTGGAATACATTGAGGGGCAGGAAGAAAGCACTGAGGTTTTGGCTTATAGTTATTTAGTTTAAACCCATTCTTTTGAAATGTGCATACTTTAAAATTGACATAAGTAGTGGAACTGCAGAAATGAGAGTAACAGTTGGCAGCCCCTGAGCACTGACTGCAGCCAGGCTTTCATCTAAGCATTTTATACAAAGTGCTCAGTGCTTCACAAAAACTGGATGAGGTGGGTACTGTTATTACTCTTATTTTACAGATAAAGAAACTGAGCCCAGAGAGGTTGAATAACTGGCCCAAGATCACCCCACACCTAGACTCAAACACAGGCTGGCTCTAGCAGCCACCTTTTATCCACAGTGCCAGCCTGCTCTCACAGTACACGTGCGTAATTTAAACAAACAAAAATCATACAAATAAGATACACATATAAGAGGCACCTGTGAAACAATTTTTACTGGTAAGTTTCCATTATCAGATAATTAAACTATGGTGGCAGCCTGTAAGCCCTTGAGGCAAGGCCTAGGTCTCAAAGAACAAAAAGAAAAGTCTTTTTGCTCCTTCTACCCAGGGGCTAGCAGAATCTGAGTCCAAATATATGCTCTATATATCTGCCCATCCTGGAAACATCTATTGACTGATAGTCATAGCTAATGTTTATCAACATTCGCCGTGTGCCAGGGACATCATACTCAACCTTCACAACAATCCTAGGGGGCTGCGACCACACCCAACTTGCAGATGAGGACACTGAACAACTGAGTAACTTGTCAGGGTCCAGAACAAGTTTGGACTCAGACCGTGCAACTCCACATTCTTTCTCACCGGGGAGCAGTTCACAGGGAATAGTCAATGAAGATAGGGGTGGGGGGATTGAAAAATAAGGAATAACAGAGGTTGGTCGTTCTGCCCGGAGTGTCCTTCCCTATTTGCTTGACAGACAAATTCCTACCCCTCTTCTGACCCCCCCAGCTCAAATACACCTCCTCCAGGAAGGCTGCTGCAGTGAGTTGCACCTGCTCCGTTCATGATTCACCTCCCCCACCAGACTTGGAGCTCCCTGAATGCGGGGCTGCGTCCTAATCAAGAGGCACCCACGGAGCTAGCTCAGCCAACTTAGACCTGCGGTCTGAGCCTGTGTCCGCGCCCCCTCCAGTCCAGGGACATCCCCGTCCCCTGGCTTTTGGGCTCCACCTTTCCCTTCCTCCTCTTCCTCTTCTCCCAGAGCATCTTCTCCTTTCCTCTCCTTCTTCCCCACTTGTCTTCTCCCTCCTCCTCCCTCCCCCGCTCCGCCCTGCGCCGCCCCGCCCCGCCCCTCACCCCGGGCCGGCGGCTGCACTTCCCCCGAGGGCCTGCAGAGGGGGCCGCTGCGCCCCGGCTCGGCCGCGCCCCTCCGGCGCGCGCTTCCTGTGAGGTCAGGTGGGAGGAAGCGGCCTGGGAGCCGCCGCGAGTGGACGTCGCCTGGGCCCGGGAGACGCCTGCAGGTGGGTGACCCGGCCGGGGATGGGGCGAGCATCCCTGGCCGCTCCCGGGCGTGGACGTGGAGGCGGCGAGAGGCTTCCTGAGGCTGGGGCCGCGCGGCCCCGCGCCGCCCCCCTGTCCCCCTGCCCCCCGCCCTGCCCCGCGGCAGGTGCGCCGAGGGCCGCGCGCCTTCGGCCCACCCGGCGGGGACGCGATGACAAGGCACAAAGAGACTGCGGACGCCCTCGGCCCGCAGGCCTGCACCGGGGCCCGCAGCTTCGGGGGGACTCGCCTGTCCCAGGCTGCCGGCCATGGGGGAAGGACAGGGGCTCTAATCCATCCTGGCGAGTGTGCACGAGGGCGTTTTGAGAATCCAGGCGGAAACTCGGCTCATCTCCTGAGAGCAGATGGCCTTCACCCGTTTTCCCAGACTCGGGGGAGGCGTGGAAGGGCCTCTAGCCAAGGGACACCCTTGGGGACCACGGAGTGGGGTCTTCCCAGAGCCATCGTAGCACCCCATCCCATATTTTGGGAAGATTGGGCCCTAACCCTGGGGTAGCAGAGGCTGGGCTGGTGTCAGCTGAGAAGTGAGGGACTGGTGAGGGGCGTGCCCTCTGCTCTTCTGCCAAGGCCTGCTCTTCTGAGCCTGCGCTGTGTGGCAGCCAATGTGGTCTGGGCAGAAGATCTAAAATAATCCCGAAGGGTCCGGATCTCCGGGGTGTTCCGGAGAGAGAAGGCCCACGTCCTTGGCATTTACTCCCTGGGGGAACAGCACACTGGACCCCTTTTTTAACGGAAGGGAATTTGAGCCCCACTGGGGATCCTGGTGCCTTGGGCTCCTGTTTATACCCTGCGAGGGCCCTATAGCCAGGGCTTCTGGCTTCATGTTATTTCTCTGCAACCCGCAGATGCATGATCCCGGGCAGGCTGCTGTCCCTCTCTATCCACTTGTCAATGGCTGCACTAGTATCTTCTTCAGAGGGGTGTTGCGAGGTTAAGTGTGGTTAGTCTCAGGGCTTTCCACACAGCCCGGACCCCAGCAAGGACTCTAGGCCCAGTTGTGCTGCTGGTAGTGGTTGTAATAAAACTCTCCAAGGATCCTTTCCGTTGTTTTCCTGGTGAACTCAGTGTTTGAAAGAATTTTGTTTGGCAAATAACTTGCATTTATTTTTCCTCTTTTTATTAATCAGGCACAGTATCTGCTCAGCGTGGGTCAGTTGTGTGGGTGCCACTGAAAGCAAACGTCCTTCAATTTCTGGTAAGTGTTTTCCTTTGAGCTTTTTGAAGTCAGGGGAAGAATCATCCACAGACCCTCATGATCATGGTCATAGATCACTCAGAGTTAAGGGTTGTGGGGCGGGGGACCTTCTGTGCCACTTGGCTTTTGTCAGTCCCTGTCCCTGGCCATGCACTGCAGGTGCAGCCCCGTAGGAACCCGTGGCTCTTGGGAGAATGGTGCGGATCTTGGCTAACGGAGAAATTGTTCAGGACGATGACCCCCGAGTGAGGACCACTGCTGTGCCCAGAAGTGGCGCTCCTCGACAGGTAGGCACTCATCCCCTGTGGAAGGGGACAGCTGGCCTCCTCTGTGCCTCCTCTGTACTACTAGCTCCCAGAAGTCTCTCTTGCTGGTCACTAACCTTTTCTAGTCCAAAGTCCTCTTTACAGAGAGCTGGGGAGTGTATTGTCAAGCCTTGGGGAAAATGTAGTGTATTACTACCCAGCCTTCTGCATCCCTAGTTCTCCTTCCTCCAGGCAACCTCCCCAGACTTCAAACCCAATAACTCTCTCTCTTTTAGCAAACCCCACTGGAGCTAGCATCTTTCAAAGTCTGCTGAATGAGAAGGGAGCTAGGGAGAAGGCGGAGGAGATGAGTCCACGGCCACAGAAGGATGATTTTATTTTATTTATTTTTATTTTTATTTTTTTTTGAGTTGGAGTCTCACTCCGTCACCCAGACTGGAGTGCAGTGGCTGCTCCCGGCCACTGCAGCCTCGACCTGCTGGGCTCCGGCGATCCTTCCGCCTCAGCCTTCTGAATAGCCGGAACTACAGGCGTACACTACCATGCCCGGCTGATTTTTTTTGATTTTATTGTAGAGATGAGGTCTCGCTGCCCAGGCGGGTCTCGAACCCACGGGCTCAGGCAATCCACTCACCTCAGCCTCCCAAAGGCACGGGATTACAGGCTGAGCCACCGAGCCTGGCTAGAAGGATGATTTTAAAAGGAAGGGATGATGTGTATGAAAAATGCCTGTCCTAGGGCCATGCCCTGTGATCCAGCCTACCTCAAGCACTTGCTTTCTTCTCTGTCCTAGGCACCTTCTCCCTGCGCATGATGTGGGGAATGTGGACTGGCATTTTCTATGCTCTGAGAGCTTGTGACTTGGTTGTTAGGACTCTTATAGATGGCACCTGGGGGTTGCTGAGAAATGAGGGTATGGGTGTCAGGCCTGCTACATGTCTCCTGACTGGTGCCTCAACTCCAGGGAAGCCCTGGCTAGATTCATTCGTCTCTCTTTCTCTCTCTCTCTCTGTCTTCACCTTCCAGAGTTTTCTCAACAGGGGCCATGGTGCCCCCCCGGGGGGTCCTGGCACTCGCCAACAGCAGGCAGGTGCCAGGCTCGGTGCTGCCCAATCCCCCTTCAGTGACCTCAACCGGCAGCTGGTGAACATGGGCTTCCCCCAGTGGCATCTCGGCAACCACGCCGTGGAACCTGTGACTTCCATCCTGCTTCTCTTCCTGCTCATGATGCTGGGTGTCCGTGGCCTCCTGCTGGTGGGCCTTGTCTACCTAGTGTCCCACCTGAGTCAGCGGTGACTTCTGGGGGCTGATGGGTGTGGGTGTGTGGAGGGGGACTTGCTGGGCTTGGGTGTGAGAGCAGGCACATTTGGAGGGGATCCAGTGGTGTCTTGAAGGTGCAATCAGAGAAGGGACCACAGTGTATGTTTCCCTCTGTGTTGTGCATGAGGCAGAGGGAGACTTAGTTCAGCATTCCCAAAGTTGAGGGTGGATGCCCTGGTTTCCTTGAGATGTTTCTGTGTGATATAGGGCCTGCATTAAGTGGCACAAAATCAGAGCAAGAAAGGAATTCCCTTTCCAATTATCTTTCCATCCTTTTATGCCAAGAAGAAAGTCTGAGCGTGGTGCCAATATGTCCTGCTGCCTCTGGCAGACTTCCCCTTTGACTAGGGAACAGGACTTGGGCTAGGGGTTGTGGGAAGAGTTTCCAGACTTTTATAGCACCGTTTTGTTTTAAGGGTATATTTTTATTGGCTACCTATTGTTTAGGACAAGTGGTACTGGCATTCTATTTATTGTGACTTTTTCAATAAATAGACTTAAGTAAAAAAATGAGTCCATGTAAAGAAATGTATAAATAGTCATACAGTTATGCATAGATCTGAAAGATATGGTGGAGGTGGTTTGGGAGTGATTGGGTTTGGGGAGCGGGGAACAGTGGGCATTTGACCTTGGAGGGTGGTTTCTAGAATTTTCTGGGCAGAATCTTGGAGCTGGGAGAGAAGATCTAGATAAAACCTGGGCTTGGATGCCTGACCAGATGCTTGGATAATTCCTAGGCTCACTGAGATGCTGGACTTGAAGGCCAGAGGGATCCTCAGCCAGAATGGCTGGTGAGGGCATAGGGTCCGGAGAGCCAGAGTGCAGGTCTGAGGTCTCCCTTGCCTGGGATGCCTCCCTGACCAGAAGCTGCTCAGCTCCATCACCCTCCTGGTGGTCCTGTCAACTCTGGCTGCAGCATACTGTCCTTAGAAAGTGATGCACGTGGGATGAGGATGCCCTGCTTTTCGTGAGAGGAGGCCTTGCATTTTGGCTCAGGAGCCCTGGGTCTGTGTGGAGGCCCTGCTGGGAGAGGCACCGGGTGGCTGAGGCTCTGGGCCAGGGCTGGGGGATGAGGTTTTTCACAGGTTGGAGAGATGCTGGGTGAGGACTTCCTGTCCCAGCACCAGATTCCTCACCCTCCTTTCAGGGTCCCTGGGTTTGATTGGTTGGGGGAGGAAGATACATTTTGGAGTTACCAGGGCTGAGGAAGGATGAAGGAGAGAGCAGTGGAGATTGAGTCCCTCCCTCCTGAGAGCCTGCCGTGCTGCCCAGAACAGAACCTCTCCCCTCAAGCCTCCATGCCCACTGCTGCCCTTGAGGGGGCCCATGGCCTCTGTCACAGACACTTCTGGGGGAGATTTGCGGCGCTGGAACAGGACTCCTTTCTCAAAGAATGTCTTCTGTGTCTTTATTTCTGGGCAGCGTTTAGAACTTGTGCTCCTTTATGATGGGCACGAGGGGAGAGGGACTGCTCTGGGCCCTGGGAAGCGGGGGCTGGTGCCCAGCCCTGCCGGTGTCCCTGCTTTTCCCTGTGGTGTCTCCTTCTGTCCTGACACATCCACTCACCTGCTCACCTGGCCTCAAGCCCCTGCAGCTCCAACCCACCAGTCACCTGGATGTTTCTGCCCTGTGTCTGGCTCCCCCTCAGCTCCCTTCTCCCTCAGCTTGTCACTTGGAGGCAGGATTTCCCTTCCATTTTCCCCTTTCAAAGCTGTGGGACTCTCTGAAGAAGCAAATTGTAAGTGGACCCCCCAGTGTATAAGATACCTTTAGGGGACATGATCTGAGTCTACAGGTTCAGGGCTGAGAACTCAGTTTCCATTCCCAGGGCCCAAGACCTTTGAGGAGGATTAGAGTATGTTAGAGAAAGCAGGGGAGCAGGGCTTTCCTCTGCTTCTGGTTTAGAAAGAGAGGCGTGGGAGAGGGGCTCCCCTCACTTCTGGCCAGTTCCAGCTAGGATGGTGGAGGTGGGAGGAGCCGCAGGCAGCAAGGGTCTGCGTGTCTGAGCAGCAGAGGGCATGGGGCAGAGGCAGCCTTTCTAGATGTTTGGTTAGTCAGCCTAAGGGGTGGTGGTTGGGACTTGAAGTAAGTTGTTAGGGTCTAAGAAGAAGTGCCCGTTTGCTGGCTGAGATCCAGAGCTGCTCTCCACCCTTTGAGCAACCCACCCTCCCTGTGCCCCCTGGCCCTGGGCAGTGTGCTGACCTCTGCTTGGCCTCACTTCCCAAGTCGAGGGTCTGAAAGTGTGCTGGGCCAGCCTGTCTGCAGACAGGGACTGCGTAGGGAGGTGCCCCTGAGGTCATGTGAGGTCATGCAGCTTGTGTCGCTGTGAGCGGCCCGGGATCACATCTCTCCTTGAAATGCCTCTCCATGAGCCTCTCACTGTGCTGACAGAACTCAAGGATGTAGATGTGTTATGCACAGGCCCAGCTTCGTGGCTCCAGTAGCCCGATGCAGAGCTGATAGGCTACTGAGTGAGCTGCACTACCTGGTCCTGGTCAGAAGCTCACTGAGGAAGGTGGGCTCTTTCATCTCTGTCCACCCAACCCCTGCTGCTGTGTGTGATGGAACCCCCAGATTGGACTGCCTTGATGGCTGTCATCTCACCCAAGAGGACAGGTTTCAAGGGAGGTTTCTGCTGGCCTTTAGGGCTGATCCTTGAAGTCCCATGTCTCCCAAGTCCGACTGGATTTGCTTCCTGGGAAGAGCTGCCCCGCCCCACCTAAATAAGCTACCAAATAAGATCCCACCAGGCCCCTACCACCTCTTCGGGGCTGGAAAGAGGAGTAGCCACCTCCATGGGGGGTGATTTTGGCTCTCTGGTTAGGGTTACCTGGTAAGCAGAGCTGCTGGGTTCTGACTTGTGCCTGTTCCTGGTCAGTCTCCCAGGCCCTTCTTTCCATGAGTTCCAGGTCCTTGGAACTTGCCTCTCCCCACCCTCCAGTAGCTCTGGAGGTGGGAGCCACATTTCCACCTTCTCCAGGGAAACATTAAGCCTGAACAGGTAAGACAGTAGCTCTGGTCTTGCTCTGTGGATCTGAGTAGAAACCCTGGGGCAGTGCTCAGAGCCTCTGCCCACTTGGAAGGCTGACACTGAGGATGGGAGGAAAGCCACCTCTGTGCCCTGTGGCTACCAGGTGGCAGAGGAAGCCTGTTTGCAGGACCAGCTTGCTTTAGTGGGCCCATGACCTTGGATGGTCCACCTAGCTTCTCAAGCCTTGGTTTCCTCATCACTACGAAGGGAAGGCAACCTGAGCCCTGCCTGCCTCTTGGAGCCTTTCAGGGGATTCCTGAGATGTGGTGGGTGAGAGATGGACAGAGGGCGATAGAAGGGAGGCTGCACCAGTCCCTAGCTGTCTCTGCAGGTGCTGTGCTTGGTCCCACAGTTCCTGTGCCTAGGGCTCTGGCTTCACAGTGACTACCAGTCCCCAGCACTGGGGAGCCCTGGCTGGGGTAGTGCTGAGCTTTGAAGACCAGCGTGGCTCCCTCCCCAGCTGTTAGAGAATTACAGTTGTTTTGCTGTGCTCCTGGAAGCCGAGGGGCTAGCTGCTGGTCTCGAGTGTGAGGACTAGATGATGATGTTGAAAGCGTGCAGGGTGTCTTGCCCCATGCTCCACACTTTCTACCACTTGATGGTCACTAGAACCTTATGACACAGGTACTGTCACGGTCATGCTTATCTACTGCAAAGACACTGGAGGGTTTATAACTTGCCCTAGGACCCAGAGCAAGCTGGGGTGGAGCTGGGATTCCACCCCAGGCCCACGCCCACGCCCATGCCCACGCTCTTACCCTCTGTTTCCCCTCTGGCCACACCCCTATCAGAGTCACCTGGAAACCTGTTACAGGTAAGAATTGCTGAGCCTCACTGCCCACTGGAACTCATAGGGCCCCACCTGCACCCCCCTCGAGTCAGCTCTGCGAGGCACAGAGGTGAGTGCGAGGGTGCTGACCACAGCAGCCCGGCTGGGTGGCTCAGCAACTTCCCAGGCCAGGGCCAAGTCACATGGGGCAAAGCCCCCTTCCCTGCATCCCGGGATCCAAGATATTTTCATGGCACACGGACAAGAGATGACATCCAGCGATCTCCCAAAGGGTCTCTGAAGGGCTATGTTGGAGTGGTGGCTGGGGGAACGAGGGTGGCAGAGCTCTGCTCCTGAGACTAGATGGAGAGAGAACCTGCAGCCCCAGCAGGGCTCGGCATGGGACAAGCACACTTATCCCTCCTTGTGGGGCCACCTAGGGCCCAACAGAGCAGCAAGAGAAAGTTCAAGAGTTAAGTGGAGTGACTACTTCAATGGAATTACAGAGAGAGAGAGAGAGAGAGAGAGAGAGAGAGAGAGAGAGTGTGTGTGGTCTCTGACCCTCTGGTTTGGGACTTGGGGAAAAGCTAAAACCATATGGCTTTAGGGACCCAGAGCTTGGACGAAGGAAGTTGGAGCAGCTCAAGATGAAGCCTGAGGACAACCCTCAAGTGTCGGGGCTGGTGGGGCGCAGGGCTGGGGTGCATCACCCTGTGGTCAGCTCCAGTCCCCTGGTGGGCAGGGGCCCTGCGAATGCCTGCCACCCATTGCCAGCTCCATCTCTGTTCACCAGCAGCCTTGGCATGACCTGTCATCTTGAGCCCTTCTATGTCCTCATCTGTACCTCATGGGATGGGAGGGTATTCATTCCCAGGAAGCACTGGCACAGTTGCTGACACCAGGTTAACCTTGACGCTACCATATTCACAAAGCAAGGCATTAGGATTCACTTAACATTTCTCTACAGCAACTCATATTTCACTTAAATTTATTTTTAAATGGAAGCCTCATATTACTACTGTAAATGGAGAGCCAGCATTATAGTAGGTACTTGTACAAGTAAATCCTGGGTAGAGAAAATAACATTAATCCAATTTAGCAAGCTGCTGCAGCTGTCCAAACCACTAGCCTGATGCTTGCTTTCTTTGTTAAAAAGTCAGTTTATGACTGGGCTCAGTGGCTCAGTCTGTAATCCCAGTACTTTGGGAGGCCGAGATGAATGAATTGCCTGAGCCCAAGGGTTCGAGACCTGCCCAGGCAACTTGGTGAGACCTCGTCTCTACAATAAATCAAAAATTAGCCAGGTGTGGTAGTGCACGCCTGTAGTTCCAGCTACATGGAAGGCTGAAGTGGAAGGTTTGCTGGAGCCCAGTGGGTCGAGGCTATGGTGGCCAGGAGTGTGCCACTGCCCTCTAGTCTGGTCGACGGAGTGGGACTCCAACTCAAAAAAAAAAAAAAAAAAAAAGGCAGTTTATGATGATTTAGAGTGATGTTAAGGACACACTAGCACCTCACCGAGACATACTTGATGTACCCAGAAGACAGAAGAGAAACAGAAAGGGAGTGACTCTCACCATTTGATTCAGTGCTGTGTTTGCAAATGATTTACAATCATCCTGTGCTCCGCTCCAAAGCATTTCACATTTCGTCAGGTAACCACATCCCACAACTGTGGGAAACACTGTGTGATCTTGGGCAAACTATTTTTAAAAA